TCCCTCTCAAACTCCATTGGTTGACGCTTCTCGAAGGGCTCTCGACACCATTAAGGATCGATATCAATCCGGCCCTTCTCGCGATCAACAATCGTCTCTTCTCGATGACGAGGTCATCGAGCAATATATCGACTTCGAAGGGGGGGCAGGGCCATCTGCCACTGGTGAGAACCCATCTCCTGCGAAATCTGTCGAGTCCGAACACGGTACCATCGTTGAAAATCAAAATTCTCCTGGTAATAAGTCCCCTGTGCCACCTTCTGATTATTCCGAGGGGCTTGTCGAGGTTCCCCATGAACTCGAAACCATTTTTCACGCCCCTCGCAAGGTTCCGGTCAATGATGAACTTGCTAAGGCTCTGGATGCTCGAAAAGACTCGGAAATTGGTGAGATTTCTACAGAATTCTGTGCGTTTCTGACTCGTCAGCTACTCTCTGGGCCCGCCTTTCTTTCTCCTCTGTTCGTCACGCTCTGAAGGATGAAGCCCTCGATCGCTTTCGCGAGACTGGGGCCATCAAGCCCACTGTCAAGTGGTTTGGTAACGCCGTGAGCTTTTTCTCCTTCGTATTCCACCGAATTCTAACTGTTAGCTTGATCGCTTGGCCCAAGGTTGGCGACTTCGTAACAAGAATGGTGCTGTTGTCCGTCTCGAGGGTGAGCTTTGCTCCGATTGCCAGCGTCGTCTCGATGGTGGAGAAGATTTTCGTGTAGGTTGTATTGGTCCTCGTGAGTCTTCCTACTCTTCCTGTTCGATATTGATGCAACTTAGTTGGTGGTGTTTGTGGAGAGTGCTCCGCGAAGGGAACTTCAAAGTGTTCGGTGAAAACCAACAATCCCGAGTCCAAATTTCGCGAGGTATCTATCTTCTTCCTTCGAACTTGGTCGATGTTGATGTGAAGGGTATTACTGTCGGAGCCCAGACTGTTACTTCCAAGGTTACCTTCGTCCTGGAGCACGAACTCTGTGCTGTCTCGGCCCGATATCGATCCCTTTCCTCCCAGGATCAATCCTCTTCTCTCACCCAACTCTCCGCTTACATCCACCTCTTTTCCTCTCTCCTTCTTCCTCTTCCCCCAGTACATCTGGGCCTCTACAAATCTCTTCATCTCATTCCTTCCAACTACACCCCTCCCTCTCCTTCTGAAACCTTGGATCATCTCACCTCTGCTGCTGATCCAACCGGATTGACTTCTTCTCAACCAGTCGCCGGTCCCTCCTCTTCTCCCCATACTCCTCTCCCCCGCAATGTCATTCGTATTCCCGCCTCGGTCCGTCGTCCCCGAGCCAATTCTACCACCTCCAACTTCTAGTGTATTTTATATCTCTCTATACGTAGCCATATTTCCTGTGTATGTATTTATTTCCCAATAAATTCCGTTGATTTTGATCGAATTCTCACTTTCTTCTGAGATCCTTTTTCCTCCTTTCCAGAAACTCACCAAAAACGGCCAACTCTTCTACATTTTCTCGTGGTTCCCAGTCATAGGCCGCATTTCCTGTGTATCCTAACCATTTTACCTTGAATTCTTCCTTTCCTCGTCGAATTCTGCTGTCCACGATTGCTTCCACATGGAATTCATCCTGGCCGTTAATTACTACAGGCGGTGGGGGTGGTATCTGTCGACCTGGTATCATATCGTTAGGATATGGTTCCAACAGCGTGACATTGAAGACATTGTGCACTTTCATTGATGGAGGTAGATCTAATTCGAAAGCATTTTTTCCAACTTTCCTTATGATCTTGAAGGGGCCAATGTATTTTGCTTCTAGTTTTCGACTGGGTCGTTCCGTCGTAAGATACTTCGTACTTAGTAGTACCTGTTCTCCCTTTCTGAATTCTTCTGGTATGCTCTTGTGTCTCCTGTTGTAGTACTCTGCACTAATTTCATTCGCCATCCTGATCTGTTCTTGAACAGTCGCATGCAACTCTCCCATATCTCTCCATTTCTTCTCCAACTTGTTTGACTTTGATCGAATATCGTGCGAATGGATGTCGTAGTGTGGCACATAGCCGTAACAAGCTTCAAAAGGACACAGACCGTGGCTACTATGTGGCGAACAGTTATAAGCGAACTCAGCAATTGGTAGAAGTTGATCCCAATTGTCCATGTTGTAGTTTACATACATTCCGAGCAGGATTTCCATCTGTTGATTTACTCGCTCAGTTTGTCCATCTGTTTGAGGGTGATACGCAGTCGAGTATAAGTTCTTTATTCCCAAGAACTGACATATTTCCTTCCAAATTTCCGCCGTAAACTGAGTTCCCCTATCTGACACAATTGTTCGAGGTACTCCATGTTTTGAAAAGATCTCCTTGATGTAGATGTCGGCCACTTTGTTCGCTGTTAGTCCAGTTGTACATGGAATAAATCTAGCCATCTTGGTTAGTCGATCGACTATCACCAGTATCGCGTCGAACTCGGTCGATTTTGGTAGGGGTCCCACCATATCCATAGAGATATCTGTCCAGGGCAGTGTGGGTACTGGTAAAGAGACCAGATGTCCATACGGCTGGTGTCGATGAGTCTTGTGTCGGTTACAGATCTCGCATCCTTTTACGTATTTTGCAATATACTCGTCCAAATGTGGCCAGTAATAGTCCTCTTTGACCATGGTGATAGTTTTGTCTCTTCCTGGATGACCCACTAGCATCGAATCGTGTCTTGCTTTCATTACTTCTAATCTTGCCTGTCCCTCTGGTATGACTACTCTGTTTTTGTATAAGAGTAATCCGCTCTGTGTCCATGATACTATTGGTGTCTCGCTGCTAGCCTGTGTCTTCTGTGTGTCCTGTGTGTTCTGGGTGCTCTGTGTGCTCTGTGTGCTATGTGTCTGTGTCATCTGTAGTCCTAGTTGTCGTATGTTTGCTATGTCTTCTGAGTCTTTCAGTCCGTTCTTGATGAGTCCGAATAATGAGTCTTCCCGGATTGCTCCTCTTACTATGTGTCTTGGTCCTTTGTGTTCTGAGTCCATTGAATTCGATCCAACTTGTTCGTGTGTCGGTAGCAATTGCAGCCAGTTGCCTTTGTTAAGATTCGGGTCCTTGCTACTCCCTCTTCCCGGATGATAATCTCCTCGTCTCGTCAGAGCATCTGCTCCCCCATTTTTGCTCCCTGGTCGATAAGTGATCTCTATGTTGAAGTCTCCCAATATTTCCAACCATCTCATCTGCCTTCGATTTAGTTGTCGTTTGCTTTGGAAGTATTCTAGGTTCTTGTGATCGGTAATGACCTTTATAACATCACTACTGTTAGCCAAGTAGGGTCTCCAGGCGACCAAGCAATCCACGATGGCTAATAATTCTTTCTCTCCCACCGTGTAGTTTAGCTCACAGGGCGTCATTGCTCGAGACCAGTACGCTACTGGGTGAAGTTCGGTGGTTCCTTTTATTGATGGGTGAGGAAATCTCTGAGACGCTATCGCACCTATCGCGCAATCGGATCCATCGGTTTCAATCCAAGTCGGTCGGGTTCTATCAAAATGTCGAAGTACTGGTGCTGTGGTGAATGTTTTCTTTAGATCGTCAAAAGCCTTTTGGCATTCTTGTGTCCAGTTCCAAGCTTGATCCTTCCTAGTCAATCGTGTGAGAGGTCCCACAATATGCGAAAACCCCTTGATAAACCTCCGATAGAAATTCGCAAAACCCAAGAACACTTGAGTATCCCGGACTGTCATGGGTTCTCCCCATTCTAGAATAGCTTTCACCTTTTCTTGATCCATTTCGATCCGTTCGTGTCCTATTACGTACCCCAGGAACTTCACTTCATTTGAACTCCATTCGCATTTTCTCGGACTGACGACCAAATCGTTTTCCAGTAGTCGATCTAATACCTTTTGGACAATTATCTGATGGTTTTCGATCGTGTCGGAGTATACCGTGATATCGTCGATATAAACTACTACCCCTTCGTCAAGTAGATCGTGAAACATGTCTTGTAGAAAGTTCTGAAAGGTGGCTGGTGCATTACACAACCCATCCCTTAGGACTGTGCTCTCGAAACTGCCGTATCTTGTTCGCAAGGCAGCCTTTTGTTCATCTCCTTCCTTTATCCTGACTAACTGGTAAGCCCCTTTCAAATCGAGCTTAGTGAAGATCCTTCCTAATTGAAGTCGATCGAGTAGTGTCGAGATGAGTGGCATTGGGTATGAATCCTTAATGGTTACCTTGTTAAGCGCACGATAATCCGTTACCACTCGATAGGGAATCACTCCCTTTTTTGGAACCAGGAATACAGGAGACCCATAAGGTGATTTACTTCTTCGTAGATGGCCGCTGGCCAGACCATCGTTGATCCACTGCTTTAGGAATGCATCCCCATGTTCATCCAGTTGGTAGATTGGTCCTGGTTTTAGTTCTGCTCCGGGGGTCAATTCGATCTCGTGGTCACATTCTCTTCTTGGTGGTAGTTTTCTGGCTCGTTCCACTTTGAATAGCTCCAGGTATTGGTGCCATTGTGTCGGTATGACCTGTCGTAACTCTTCTTCGCTCATCTCATCTTCTCCTTTTTCCAATGCTGTTCCTCTTATCAATCCTTCCTCCAACCTCGGATACTTCCAACCGTTATCCTGTCCGATTCCGTCGAACTCGATCAATCCCTTTCCACAATCGATCCTTGCCCTAAACTGTTTCAAGAAATCCAATCCCACCAGTACCTCGGGGCCTTCGTATGCCATCACATCCAATCGAGTCGCAATCTTGAGTCCTGCTCCTAAATCCAACTCAGCTTCTACATACTCGGTCACTAACGTCGCGGTTGTTCCATCGAGGAACCTAATCTTCCGTGGTTCCCGATACTGTCTTTTGGGGAATAAATGGTATAATGGACAGGCCGGCTGTACGTATCTTCCGGTAGCTCCGGTATCAATTAACATTCCAAATCGTAGGGTATCTTCTTCTGTCTGTATTTTTATGTATATTATAGCCGAGTCATTACTAAGATCTATTGGTAGTTGAATTTTGTGCGATTCTGTTAGATCCTGGCCGCAAGTGATCGCATCACTTAGGCCAGGTATTCGTTTCCCTCTTCTTCAAAGGTCACCGCCATTCCTCGAACTAATGGCCCTTTGGATCCGGTTGGGATCGAGTTCGATCCACTAGGAATTGGTGAGCTATGCGGGTTTGGGGATCCCCTAATGTTGTTCCTCGTATTTCCTCCATTTGGACAGTTGTTGGCGTAATGTTCTGGACTTCTACACTTGAGACAACGTCGGTTCTCCCTCCTCCAAGTCATTTCGTTCTCGCTGAGACGTCCTCCGTCCTCTGTCCAAGTGACCGGAGGGTCATTTGGTAGACCATAATTCATCATCCCTGGTTTTCCACCAGGCAAGGGTCCTCTACCAGTCGATTGTGAGTGGCGTTCTACCGGGTTGGGCGGACTAGTATCCAATCGCATCGAATTCGATCGAGGGGGAAGCCAGGTCGTCTCATTTTTGCGTCTAGCAGCCCATCGATTCGCCGCAATCATCGTTTCAGCCATCCGTTGGTTCTCCTCAGTCCCTATCACATGTTGTTTGAAATAGATCCAGTCCGATTTGGTTCGAGGATCGGTGTTATTTACCACTACCACTTTCAGTAGCTCTTCCTTCAGGCCCTGTATGGCTGAGGCGATTTTCATGGCATCGGGTACCTTTCCAAGGTGTGTGGACCAAAGTTCAAAGTTGGCAAAATACTCGGCGGCCGTATCCGTCTGTCTTAACTCTTGCAATTTCCTCATAGCCGTACCTGCCATGTTACTGTCTCCAAATTGAGTTCGTAAATGCTGGATGAATTTGTCGTAGCTCTCTAGCCATTCGGTCGAATTCCATATACTTGGATTGGTTATGGCCGGGGTTATGAGCATTTGAGGGGTGCCTCGAAGATACCCGTACATGAACAGGATCTTTCTGCGATCGGTGGCGTACTCTGCCCCTTTGAATTCGAAGTTCATGTGACATGCTGCAAGGAAGTTGTCCAATTCTCCTCGTTCTCCACTGAAGGTAGGTGGATCCGCACACCTGGTTCTTCCTGTTCGTTCGTTGTTGGTAAGTTTTGGCTCCAAACACGGCTTGTTTTCTTCGACTTCGATCAAACTTGCCCCTTTCGATGTGAGTATCTGTTGGTTCTGTCGGTCAGCTTTCATCGTAGCCAGTTCTTCCCTTAATGCATTTTGTTCTTTTTGTTGCATCGTCATAATGGCTAACAATTGTGACAACTGCTGCGATAATTCATTTAGCGGATCTGGGGTAGTGGTAGTAGAAGTGAGATCATGTGAAATGGTACTTCTCGAAGAACTTGTTGGTATTTCTTCCTCTGGGACCAGCCCTTGTTCCAACTCCTCTTTTTCTGGTATCATTTTCCGCGCTTTCCCTCTGGTGAGCATACAGTACCCTCCGATTCGACCCAAGGTGCGTAAGGCTGATTCTTCAACTTGTAACGGTACTGGAAACACGACGACTAGGTCGCAGGTTGGGTCGAACTCGATGGATGTCTCGTGGAAATCTAGGGGCTCTGGTGCTAATGGATCGTGTCTCCTCTGCAATCGATGTAGCCAAAGAATGATATTGAAGAATCAGCAAAGTTGGTACTTTGCTGATTGTACTATATACTGTCTACAGGTATCCGTGTCCTCCTCTCAGTTCCTACTGCAAGCGTCTATGTACATACTCGGACAGGTGAAAAACCGCTTTTGAGCAAACCCAGTGGGGAAATCTCGAAAAGGGAAAACCCGTCCCTACCTACTGCAGCACTGCCTCCCACTCCCTCCGTTCTCCTTCCTAATCCGTCGAACTCGATGGAGTTCTCTCGATTCGTTGTTACTCCGTAACACTACCTAGCCTAACTCCGTCTAACTTTGCCGTACATCTGCTCCCATTGTCCCTACCTAGCCTAACTCCGTCTAACTTCGTCGTACTTGGTCTCAGATGTCCTGAGTTACGTGTAGAGTAAAAAGGTTAAGGCGTGATGGGGGTTTTGATGGTCAAAGGAGGGTCATTGTTGGTGGAATAATCGAGGTGGTGGAATAATCGAGGTGTCACGACGTAGTTCGTGACATTGTTCCTACATGTATCCGCTCTGACAAAAACTCGAATCAATCTCGTATCGGAAGGAGCTGAACACATCCTTACTGTCAAACCCAACACTCACAATCATCTGCCCTAGGACAAACCACGACGGTTCAGGAATCGACTTGATCACTCGCTCTGAAGTATCCAGCCAAACGTCAAGAATCAATGTTCGGTCGGGTTCCGGATCGGAGGATGGAGGATGTAAGAGTAGTCAGAAGGAAAAGATCCAACGTGAACAAACACATGGAATCCGCTGAGTCTGTCATTTCCGTCTTTTCTCACATCTGTCAGTTGACAGTTAGCGTTCCAGTGCGCGGTCAGGGTGTTTTGTTTTGTTTTGTTTGTCCTTTGGAGAAGTGTGTCATTGCCTTTTTCCTATCTGGTATTTTTCCCCTGCCAGAGTCTATCTCGTTTCTTTTTCAGTACGAGATCGTTTCGTCTTTTGGATTTACGGCACTTGTGCGGCCGGTGGGGAGGGAGGGAGGGAGGGAGGGAGGGTATCTCCTTTCTCTGGGGGAAGAATGTGTCAAACAGATTCAGAGATGCATGAAAACAGAAAATGGAAAGCAGAAAAGCCCTAAACGTTTGTCAGCTTTCCCTTTAATCCAAACAGCACACGGATCTGATCGATTTCAATCTTTTTCTCACTTTCAAACTCGTCTTCTCGAGGTGACCAACAACCTTCCAGATCGCAAAACGTAATCTGAACCTGTGGAGAACGAGAAGAAACGTTTGTGGTGTTTCGTCTTGTCGCCCTTTCACTCGCACCATGTTCGTCGTTTTCGTTTTCAACGTCTTGACGTGTTCCTTGACCTCTGGCGAGATTTCGATTTCCAAGAGTTTGATCTCGACGATTTTGTGAGGGATCATGTTCTGAACGATGACTAGGTTGATGATTTGGTCGAACGAGTAAGTGTCGAGCACGTATATCTCCATGGATGACACCTCGATCGTGAAGGTTGGAGATGGATTCCAACGCTTGTGCTTCAGGTTTCAAGTTTCTGTCCAGACCATACGTCGTCAAGGGATCCATTCCACTTGTGGATCTCGATCCGGGGATAGGATCAGTGGGTTCTAAACGCTTGAGACGTCTTGTTCTGAATGAGACCGGACCATCGGGATCCAGACCGTTCACAGACGTCAGAGAAAAAGGGTTGGTCGAATCAAGATTGGGATCGAGTTCGTTTGTTGACCGAGTTTGGAAATCATCCTTGACCCATAACCCATAAAACATTGGTATAGATTTACCTTGTTCGTTTCTCAATCTACCGCACATTACGTCTCTTTCTCCCAACACGTGATGGATAGCTTCGGAACGAGTATAAGGTGGATGAAGATTAAGATTGATTTCGTGTTTGGTTTCCGTTTCCGTTTCCCCAAATTGATCATCAAGGTCATGAGCATTGATCACACCCTGTTCAGCGTTCATGTCTTTTCCCTCTTTACTCTCTTCTGAACCTCCTGGATTGAACCGACCGAGATGGCATATCTTCAACACTACGGAAACAGGTCTGGCTGAACCGGCGAACCAAGCGTCTGCACGTATGACTTGGTATAGCCTCCCAGAGCCGCAGTAGGAGGTAGGTTCCAAGAGCATTGACGTCAAGGCAGGCGTATTGATTTCATTGACCTGACAAGTCAGTCAGTGAACACGTTTGTTTGTTTGTTTTGTGTGTTAGTGTTCACAAGTCTGTAAACCTTGGGCTGGTCTGGGACACCTGGACAAGGTTCAACAGGGAAACAAGAGCATGACGGAAAGCGACTTTTTCGATCAAGTGGTCAACGATGATGATATAAACTCACCTCGTCGTTCATCCGGTTGGGTCGATCCAATGTGATATCATAATCGACTTGCTCATCTCTCACTTTCCAAGCTGTTGATGCATCTTCATTTTTTGGAGCCAGGGAAACCTTCTGCTTCGAAAGGATTTCTTGCACTGTCGCAAGCACAGGGCAATCATCATGGACGCTTGACGTCCCTGGGGATTTCGAAAGGGTTGGGGACCGTTGTTCGTCCCTCAAAGTTGAACCTTCAGAACCATCTGATACCATTGTCATGTCCGAATTTGATCCGTCTTCATCTACCGCGACCGACGACATGTCGCACGATGATTTCTTTCTCGATGGGGAATTGACGGGCTCGACTGATGATTCGGTTGTAGGTAAAAGAGGATACCATCGCTGTTGGAGGTGAGGTGATGTTTTCTGAAAAGACGAAGAAGGGGAAAGATCAGACGAGTCATTCATTGACGAGATATCAAAAGATGGATATGAAGGGAACAGACATTCGAGGAAACCTCGTTGAAACATTCTTGACAGTTTGGATCTAGGGTTGGCAGGGAGAGATAGATACGGTGTAAAGTACCCAGTCATGTTGGGCTGCGTTTGACTCTGATTCTGCGTGAGAGTCTGATGGTGAGTTTCAACTTGAGATGATGGTTGTTGGGACGGCGCTTGTTGGGACGGCGTTGGTTGGGATCGAGTTGAAGTCCGACTTTGAGTTTGAGATAAAGCAACGTGTTCCGAAATGAGCCCAGACATCCAAACCATATCGTCGTCATCATCATCATCATCCCCATTAAAGATACCTTTTGTCAACATGTCCACCGCTACTTCTCCAGAAGAACAATCTTCGTTCGTTTCATCCACTTGTAAAATCGTTTTCCAGATCCTGTCAACTCTTCTGTCCGTAGCTCGTCTGTTATCCATTTCAATCTCTCTCATGAGGTTGCTATTGTCTCTCCCTTGTCCTCCTCTCCCATTGTCGAACACTCTTTCACTCGGAAGGTTATCGTTACTTCTCAGACGTGTATCAAGTCCTTGTCGATGGATGATAATCTCTCTGACAATCGGACCAGAGGCTTGTTTGATTCTTTCAATGTTGGATTTCGATCCGTCTCTCAAAATGATTTTGGATATTTGGATATCTGTCGGTGTGAGGTAAAGACGGATGCAAGCTTCGTATGACGACAAGAGTGGGTGACGGGTTTGATATTTGTGAAATTGTTGCAATACCTTCATTCTGTCAGCGGGCGTTCTTTCTTTTTCAACCAAAGCTGTCAGCGGTGAGAGGGGTTTACTGGACAAGTCACACTTACCAGAGTCAAATACCATCTGAGACCTGCGGAGATAACCTTGTCATCATCTCCCACGAAGATGGGTGTGGTGTCTCCATTCCAAATCTCCATTGACATTTCTCCTTTGGAAGAAACCACCATTGTGAGGAAAACGACAAGATCACGCAACGTCAAGAATGGTTTAAACTCTATGAATCCTACAGTGTTGTAAGCAGGGGTCACCTGGGGAACGTTTCTCGTCTCTCCTTGTACCGACGCAGGGGTTGCATCCTCTTCCGCCGTCATGGCGGTCGTTCCGGATGGATGAACAAGTGGGTCGTGTGTCGATGGGGGAAGAGGTATGTCGTAAGCCGATGGGAGAAGAGGGATGTTGATCGTCCTTATCGCAGTGAGGGAAGTAGTGCGTAGAGTTATATGGTCAACAGATGATGAAGGACCAGAATCAGATTCAGATTCAGTGAGAGATAATGGATCGACCAAAGATTGATCATGTCTTCTCCTTCTCAAAGCTGAGAAATCCGTGGTACCAGATCCACCGACAGCAAAAGTGAAAGCCCTGTCCGTCAAGCTTTGTCTGTATTCCTCCCTGAACAGATCCAGACCTTTGCTCAATATTCGATTAGCAGGTACCAATAGGTTTGAAAAGAATTCGTGTTGAAGTGGTATTTCGTCAAAAGACATAGGGTTCCATATGACAGAATCCGGAGGACGTTGATCGTATGTTCTGATACCCCAATCGTCAAGGTTGATCGATGATGTCTGATTACCGCCGGGATGGGTACGAGTGGATGTCGGAGACGTACGATTTGTTTGAGGTTCCAAACGGACAGAAGGAGCATCTAGGTATGACAAAAACTCTGATGTCCATCGAGGCGTCCTACGCATATCCTGTTCGACGAGTAAGCCTCGCCAATGGTAGAGGAAACGAGATTGGGCTTGATGATCCGAAGGAGTGACGATGGGTTTGAGAGAATCGCGTAGGTCTAGGATGGAAGATTGGAATCGGTTATCGTTCAAGGTGAACCTGAGCGTCAGCGAGAGAGGGAGAGCGTGCGGGTGATTGTGCGGGAAGAGGGGAACACATCTGAGGGAAGAGGAAGAGAGAGTAGGCGAGAGCAGCAAACGTTGAAGAGATGAGCGAGGGAGACAAACGAAGAGGAGGGCAAGGATGGCTGAAACACCCACTTGATCTTGTCCCAATTTGTACCGTGTCTGAAACAATCCCACCAGTCTTTGGCTACCCTGCTAGAAGGCTTGCTTGCACCAGAGGCAGAAGATCTGGCAAGTCGATTCGACAACTTGTCCGGACTCCTCTGTCTGATCGTCGTCAACAACGGTTCCGACCTCGGCCTCTCCTTTAGGTTGAAACTCGTGTGAGAGCGAGTCCGAGGGGGGGGGGGGGGGGGGGGGGGGGGGGGGGGGGGAATTTCGCCCCGGGGGAAAAAGAAAAAGTAAAAAATTTTTGGGAGAAACCACAGGGAAAAAGGTGTAAAATTGGGGAGGGGAAACCAGGGGGGC